AACATGAAAAGGTGGAAGTACGCATACCAATTGTAAGAGGCCAATCAATTGAGATGAGCTATCAGTAGCAGCAGAAGAAAAAACTTTGAAGTGATAATCGAGATGACCCATAGAAGGTGTGAGGAGAACTTAACATGGGGGGAAAAAAAATTCAATTAGTGTAATGACCCAACCATTCCCAGTCTCTGTTTAGGCCGAAGTTAATTGTCTAATTTGCATATTAATTCGAGTTCAGCAGTCTCTCTTTGGAGTCTGTTTTTGAAGTTTTTCGTTGCAAAACTGACACCTTCAAGTCTGTCACTGAGTGATTAGAGAGGTTGAAGTGTTCTCCCACTGGTTTTTGAATGTTATGATTCCTGATGTCAGATTTGTGTCCATTTATTCTTTTGCGTAGACTCTGTCCAGTTTGGCCAATGTACATTCAAAAACCAGTGGGTTTTTTTTTTTTTTTTTTTTTTTTTACTGTAACTTGCAAAATGGGTTATATCATACAATGGTTAAATTACCTGGGATCTATTTTTAATGATTTATGACACATTTGAGTAGCCCAAAACCCAGCAGTAATTCTTATTCAGGACAATAATACTGTGACTATTTCATTGGACAAATCCTGAGTTCACACTTTGATCATTCTCTTTCTAAATCTTGTGCTGATGAAAAATACCAACTAAAGACCTTCCCCTTTGGACCGTTTTTTGAGAAGGAGTTTGTATCTAATAGAACGAGGCTTTTCAATGAAGGCTAAGAGAACTCAGGGAATGCTACTTTCATTGAACTTAATTGAGTTGAGTGCTTACTTCCTTTAGGCACCTTTGAATATCCAGGCTGAAGGAATGATTTATAACCTCAGTGAGTCTTGTTGCTATTCTGAGTCTGGTCGTACCTTACGATGTTGTATTTATCCTTTGGTCTTTCACTTCACCATCTCCCAAAAGCTGCTCTTAGACAGATTCTCAAGTATAGGAACAACAATATGAATCAACTCCTTTAAGTCTCATTGCTTATGCGAATTGTATTTTGCTCTTACTTGTGAAAGTATCTAAGGGGAGCCTAAGAATGTGTAAAGGGTAGGCTTGGCAGAGGAAGAAATGAACTGCATGGCTCAAGATAATGAGGAGATAGAGCCTTTGTCATTGATTCAACCATTGTTAATGGAAGCAATTACTTCCTGAAAGGTGTTCAGTGGCCTATTGATATTTGTTTGATCATATACAGTGCAGGTGCAGTGTAATGACCACTTAAAAGTGAAAAGCAAGATAGAGAACCTGGGAACCCGATCCTGCATTAGTGAATACTGCTACACAGCTGCCACACTAGTCTCGCCTGGCAGCAGGAGTGAGGTCTAAGAAGGGAGCATCTAGCGAGGACCTCACTTCCCATAGCGAAGATCAAGGTATATGGCAGTCTAGGTGTTCTTCATCCAGGCTAGTGTGCTTGGTCCTCAGATGAGTAGGTGTTTAAAAAGTCTTCAGCCCTGTCCAAAACAGTTAGCTCTGTTTTAACTCATTTCTGACTAGACTAACGTGCAGTTTTCTAGACATACAGAATCTCAGGCACTTTGATAATTGAGACAAAAGCATCTGTCCCAAAATGTTAATCTGAGGTCAGGTCTACACAACAAAATCTTGATGGCATAGCTGTGCTGGTCAGGGATTAGATGAGTGATTTGTGACCAGCATAGCTGTGTTGGCAAAAGCACCTGGTGTAAACACAGTTATACTGGCAAACTGAATTCTTGTTGGTAGAGATTATTTTCCTCAAGGGGGCTGGAATAAGCTATACTAGCAAAAGGGCAGTTCCGCTGTTATAAACTGCATCCTCACTAGGAGAGCTTTGCTGGTATAATCTGCCAGTATAGTTATACCATCAAAGTGCTGCTAGTGTAGACCTATAACCTAAGAGTAACCCACAAAATACCTGCTCTTGTCTTTTAAAAAAGATTTTGAAGCATATTTAAGTCATTGGGGTTTTCTCTTCCAGCATGCACAGTTTCTTTGAAATCAGTGAAGTTAGTTGAGAGCTGAATTTGACCCACTATCTTTAAGAGAATTTCCTTGCCTTGAACATGTTGTTATAGAACCATATTGAGTTGAAAGAGGACTCCTAGAAATCCCTGTCCAGTACATCTTTCTTGTGTCATGGATTTAAGAGTTAATTCACACAACCAAATCATAGGGTAACATTTGATGCTACGGTTAGAGATTAATGGACTGACTACCAGAGGTGTTCATTGCCTGCAGTTTCCATTGAAATTATTCGAAGCTGTGAGTGCTCTGAATCTTCGAAAAACCAGGCACCTTAATATCATTTATACTTGACAAATATTGCAGATTTAAAGCCAAATTTTTCCCTGGTATAAGCAGGCACAGATTTTTTTGAAATCAGTGGAGTTAGATGAGGGCTGAATTTGGCCCATTATCCTTAAGTGAATCTTCTTGCCTTCAGCAATGTCTCAGATTCTTAATAAACTTGTAATGTTTGGTAGTTTTTTTGTTAAATATACACCACTTGCTTTCATGCTTGAAATTACATGTTATAGAAATGTTTCTGTAATGAAAAATTCTTTTAATGGTAGAAAGTGGATTGTGCCATTAACCAAAATAGTTTTCATTTAAAAACAGTGCAGATTCCAGATCAAGTAAGTTTTCAAATAGCTGGTGATCGATATTGCAAAGCCTGAAGTCACTGTAGTGTGAAGAAAGCTAAAGCTGCTGTATTAGATCTTGCCCTTCAGATATCACTTTAAACATTCTCGTGCTGCTACCTTCAAACTGGTGTGAAGTGTCTAGATAAACACACAGAACGGGGGCTAAGTGAGAACAGTAATACAATATGCCCAAATATTTAAGGGGCATATTGGATACTAACGACATTTGGGGGCATAAATGGAATTAGATGTTTAACTATAGTGACTCTTGATCGTGTGGAGAGAACTGCACTGATTGCCATGAGTTAGGGAGAAATCCCCCACCTCACTCCCCCCTTAGAGCACATGCACAGATATCTAGAGTTTTTTGCCTTTCTAGGGAATATTCAGAGGTTCCACCTTTAGGAGAAAGTAGGAATATATTGTATATTCCCTGCAATGTGCACACACCTCTTGATCCTTTCCGACTGTCTGGAGACTCATTTAATACGTAGGCCCAACCAGATAAGGTTAAGCTAAAGTTTTTTGCCTTGGCTCTGACAGCTGAATGTAGTGTGTACATGGCCCAGTCACTTGGAGGGATGGGGAGGAGATTGGAGGAGCTGTTATCTGCCTTACAGTCCTTTTAAACCTGCTATTGTATGACACATTAGGCAGTGTGGCCTGGTACACAGTGCACCTGAATGGGTAGCCCAGAGACCTGGGTTCTGTTTGTAGCTTGCTGCTTACCTTCTGTGTAAACTTGCGCAAATGTGTTCACTTCTCTACTTTCCACCCATTTTTTTTTTCTCTGTTTAGATAGTAAAATCTTTGGACCAGAAATTATCTTAAGTCATTTGCCCAGTGTCTAGTACAGTCTGGGTTGGGCTCAGGGCACTTTTATACAACTAACAGGAAAAGACCATCTGACCCAATATACCTTCCCTTTTGCATTATATGGGAGTATGGTAACTTGTGGGGCTAGAAGTGAGAGTTGCTGGTTCCCCATTCTCTGTATCAGAAGGGTCTCCTTTCTAGTCCATTCCTTTTCTAAAGGTTTTTTTCCAACTCAGGAATTTCAGCTGTGCTGCTAAATTTTTAATGAAAATATACCCAGCACATCAAATAACAATTTGTTATATTGTATGAACAGAGGATTGAATTTAACTTTATCATATCTTAGCGCCTTCTTTAATTAAATTACTTTTGGTTCCAGCATCCTGTGTGTTATAACAAAGATGCACCATGCCAATGGTCAGGAGAACTTTTAGCAGTCAGTGTTTCCTTGATGCAGAAAAACAGGTTTTTGTGGACTCCCTCTGTTTCTCTGAAGCTTAAATTTAATCCTCTTTAGAGCACACTCTTCCCCGGATCATTATTCCAGATATTTTTAACAAGATCCTCTGTTTTAGCACTTTTGAGGGCCTTATCTGCTTTATGTTGAAAGGTGAGTCAGTTTTTAACTCCATATATTTGGGTTGACTGGGTTTAGATTGCCCTTCAGGCTAAGGTGGGGCGGGCAAACTTTTTGGCCTGAGGGCCGCATCGGGTTTCAGAAATTGTATGGAGGGCCGGTTAGGGGAGGCTGTGCCTCCCCAAACAGGCAGGCGTGGCTCAGCCCCTATCCGACCCCCCTCCCCCCGCTTCTTGCCCCTGACAGCCCCCTGGGACTCCTGCCCCATCCACCACCCCCTGCTCTCTGTCCCCTGACTGCCTCCATCCAACACCCCTTTTCCTTCCTGACTGCCCCCCTGGGACCCCTGCCCCATCCAACCACCCCTTCTCCCTGTCCCCTGACTGTCCCCAGCTGCCCCATCCAACCCCTCCTCTCCTTCCTGACTGGCCCCCTCCCCCAGAATCCCTGCCCCCATTCAACCACCCTGTTCCCCCCCTCTACCCGCCCTGACCCCTATCCACACCCCCAGCCTCTGACTACCTCCCGAACTCCCCTGCCCTCTATCCAACCCCCCTTCCTGCCCCCTTACCACACTGCCGGAGCACTGTCCTGTCCTGGCAGCACGGCTGCACCAGGACAGGCAGCCATGTCACCCGGCTGGAGCCAGCCACACACCACGCAGCACAGAGCGCCAGGTCAGGCCAGACTCTGCAGCTGCACTGCCCCAGGAGCTCGCAGCGCCGCCGCCGCCCAGAGCATTGCGCCGGTGGCGCAATGAGCTGAGGCTGCGGGGGATTGGGAACAGCAGGGGAGGGGTCGGGGGCTAGCCTCCTGGGCCAGGAGCTCAGGGGCGGAGGAGATCGGTCCCGTGGGCTGGATGTGGCCCGCGGGCCATAGTTTGCCTACCTCTGGGCTAAGGACACTGGCTAAGCAAGTTAGAAAAGCAGAAATGAATTGCCTAACACAAAGGCTCTTACTAATCATGTTAAACATATGAGATCATATACACTGGGGGAAGAACAGAAGCAGTGAAGTTGTTTTAAGAGATGACTAGACTTCATGTCCAACTGAGGATATTTTAGGAACAAAGGGTCTTGTTAGCCAAAATGCATATCTCGCTGGGCTCACCTTGATCTTAAACACCACTTGCTCATGAAGTAACATTTATGGACAATAAGCTCATTTGAGTCTTTGTTGTGACAAATGTCAGTTTTCATTTTTCTGCCATCTTTTATTAATTAGTGAAAAGTCTGTCCTAATTATCACCTTCTGATCATATACTGAAGTCAGGCTTCTTCTTTTCTTTCAACTGCAGCAGAGCCTCTCCACTAAGTAGTCACTTTGTTCAACTCCTCTTCTTTCCGTAGCTTCCATTTATGGGCCGAAGGCTCAAAGAAGAAGGAAATGGGTGCGATGAGATAACAGGTTCCAGCAAAGAAAAAGGAGCAGGCATATGTCTGAGTGTAGTCATACAGCCAACCTGCAATGGATGAGGGTTTGGTTATTAAAGCTGCTGGACTTTCCCACATAGTAACCTTCCAGGGTTTAATAATACTGAAAACTGATATGAGTTATGACTCATAACTTCATTGAGAAAATACTGAACCATAATGTATACAGACATTCCAATGTTCAGTATTAGATTACGTATATTAGTATTATACCTACTCTGAATCTACTGCCTTATGGAACCATAATTTGAATATGTAACTAAAACTAAGCGGACTGCAGTGTGTATTAATAGAGAGTTTTTAAAATAGAGAATACTTTAAAATGGGACTAACTAGTTTTTTTCCCCATGAGTGGTAAAAAAAAAACCATGATTTTACTTGGTAAAAGCCACCTCTGGTAAATACCATGACATCCCTGTGTTGCCACTGTTCAAGCTATCTAAATGAAAGCTAGTTTGGGGTACGTCTGCATGTGCTGCAGTCACACCTCTGATTGCAGTGTAGACAGACACTTGGCTATACAAGGCATGTTGACAACAGTACCGAGACAAGATGAAGACTCGATAAGCCAGATTCGCAGCTAGTGTAAATGTACACAGATCTACGGAAACCAGTGGTGCTACCCCAGTTCAGGATATGGCCCAGTATATCAGAGGTTCTAAAACTAGTCTCCAATCAGGAAGAAATATGTAACAGCCCCTCCTTTTCCTTAGCCACATGGCTATTTTAATCAGGGGTTCTGTCTGTGTGGGGAGAGCCTTGACAGTAATAGAAAAACAAGTAATTTTTCAAATTTAGATGTGAATAAAAATAGGAAAATGTGAAGAAGAAAAAAATCAATATTTGTAAGTTTAATTAAGGTTTTTAATGGCCATGTTAAGAGGATGAAGGCTAATAGGAGTTCATGAGTCAGTAGTTGCATCTCACTAACTGCTGCTCTGAACTCAAGTTAACTAGTTGGGATATTTCAATTCCCTGCATCATATCACTTCACTACCGTGATGTCTTGTCTCATTTTCTCAGGGATATTGTTTGGGCCCTTCCTGAACTTGTAGGTTTTAAATGACAAGTTATCGGTAATCTAGTGGGATGAGGTAAATGCTTTATTTCATAGGATTGGTGACTTCGTATTGTACAAAAGTTTGTTTTAGATGGGTGGGTTACTTAAGCCCTGTAATCACAGGATTAAGATGTCCAGAATGAAGTGACATGAGCTTCAGTTTTTAAACCCATTATGTGTAGAGCTTACAGAAAAACTGAAAAATACCTACTTAACATAAAGGAAAGAGAACACAAATTCACGTTTTCCCTTCAACTCAGCTGTTTTCAAATTCATCAGTACGTGGTGTCTGCCTACCACCTATTATCAGCTGGCATTACAGAATATTCTGAAGCACATGCATCTGAGAGACTTTGATCATAGAGAGATGTCTTAATGGTTTCTTTTTTTGCTTACTGGCCGGAGAAAGCAGATTGCAGCTAACCACTCAGTGTTACAGAAGGATTAGTCAGTGAATTGGAGAGAAACTAAAGGGGATGCAAAGTTTCCTGTGGAAATCCAGAAAAGCAGCATTTCTCTAAACGTAAGTAATGCTGATAAATCCTTGTTCCATAACTAAACACTCTAACCCCTCACAGCATATGCCTAAGCTATATGTTTAAGTATAGCTATCATTACTTTTATCGCCACTAATGGAGCTGGAGGTGCCTGCTGTACTTTTTTTCCTGCAGATTGCCTTTTTGCTTTGAATTGTAACTGTTTTGTTAAAAGCATGGTAGTTCGTTTGTATTGTTCAGTGGTTCTCAAACTTTTGTACTGGTGACCCCTTTCACATAGCAAGCCTCTGACTGTGACCCCCCCTTATAAATTAAAGACACTTTTTAATATATATAACACCATTATAAATGCTGGAGGCAAAGCAGGGTTTGGGGTGGAGGCTGACAGCTCGTGACCCCCCATGTAATAACCTCGCAACACCCTGAGGGGTCCTGACCCCCAATTTGAGAACCCCTGGTATTGTTCCTGTGAAGCTTAACATGGTTCACTTCCTATGCTTCTTTGTGCCTCTAAGAATCAGCCTGATTTGTTCTCCTGTTATCTTTAATTTCGTTTCTAGAATGTCAGAAGTATTCACAGCTTAAACAGGTGTCCCTTGTATGATGAGCAGGTAAGTGGTTCCTACTTGCTGGTGAAGCTTCAAACTTTTTAGCTCTGGGTGTTCAACCACTGCTTTGACTTTGGCCCTAGAAGTAAGAATCGGGGAAACTAATCTTTCAGGTAAGTAGCTCTTTTTCTAGTATGCATGTTTTGATAATTTTTTTGTTTTGTTGTGTCGAATATGCATCCTTCACCTCTTACTGGTGTTATGTATAGTGTATATTATACTAAGAGTACTAGATGTTTTGAGTTTATGGAAATATTTTTTAAATGAGCCTTGACTTCAGTACTGTAGATAAGTTAATAGTTCATTTAATCACAGTCAAAGGAAGAGAAACCCTAGAACCATCTTTAATAGCAGTAACAAGTCTTTCATTTTCACCAGAATTAACTTTCAAGGTGAAGTACAAGGAACAAATGCTTCTGCAATCTTGGAGAGTTAATATTTTCTAGCATATGCAGCTTTCACACGTAAGTGGCTTGATTTGAGGAAAAAATTGCAGAGTTCATCTTGGATCATAGGATTGCAGCCTGAACATAGGATCATGTGCTTGATCCCCTTCCCCTTCATGGGACAAACTGGCACACACAATTGAGGGGGCTGGAAAAATTAGATTGCTTCATTCCTCTTCCTGGTTGCCTCTCCCTCCTGGTGCTTGTCCTTTCCCATCTCAGCTGTATTGGTGGACTTGGACTGCCAGGAGCTGCCAGATTAATACGTATAGCCTGCATGCTCCTCACGCACCCCTCCCTACCCCCCAAATAAACTATTAATGATTAGTGTTTTATTAAAAATAATTCAGTTGTTAGAAATAAAGGAGACATCACCAGTTAATGAAGATGTTACAAGCAGGTGAAAGTGCAATAGCCACATTAGCATGTATGATGCATAGACAAAAGAAAATGCAGAAAGTGAAGTAATTCACTACATAAGGTACTTGGGGCAGACATGGAACGAAGTATGTGACCAGGTGAGACGCAGCAGATCATTGGGTGGGGATGCATGCAAGAAACTGTAAATGCAAAATTTGGTTTGGCATTTTTTATTCTACACTCCTGGTCTATTTACAAGATAGATGAGTGACCGAATGCCATTCACCCACTGGTATTTGACCTGGCAGCTTTATTCATACACTGTAAAATGCTACCCTGGGAATAGCTGAAGATGCTGACCACACATCCAGGTATGAAGGTAAGGTGAAAGGTTCAGTGAAGGACAGGCTTTGCCTTGGGCAGAGGTGCATGAAACAGCATGCAAATTTCTTCTCAATCTAAGTGGATAAAGAAATATCTGACTCTGAATATTTATATTAATGTAGCCCCCAAAATGTGCCACACACTATATATAGAATAAGATGGTATTTTTTGGGAGGGGAGGGGGCCTACGTAAGCTGTTTAGCAGTGGAGATTTTGAATCCTTAGTCAAGTCAGGAGATGACAACTGCTCTATGCAAAGCACTGCAAATATAGCACCTATCCCTCATGTTGCCGGGACCATGTTATCACCTCTTCAAATCCCTTCAGCATCAAGTTAAACTGAAATAACAACTTGAGTCTGGTAAAGTCATAATTTTTTTGACTTCTTTAGATGCATACAATTCTTTCCTCTTCCTTCCCCCTAAAGGGAGGGTCAGAGCTAAAGAAAATGCTCTGTGGTTTACCACCATTAACTCATTCACTTGCATGTTAGTTTGTTAGAAATTAGTTTTCTTTTGAAGAAAAAGTCAACTACCTTTCATCTTGACTCTCAAATGTTTCCTAGTAAGTACTTTGAAGCTAGAGAAGAACTAAGAATATTCCATCAAGAGGATAGAGGGAAAATATTGCTTATATGTTACCTGCTATAGGAGGTCCAGCGATGGCTGCTATCCCAGCAAAGAATGAGGCAAATCCTAAAGAACTGTGGAGTCTGGGGACACCTACAAAATCTACCTGTTCATGGAACCAGAATTATTATTACTTTATATAATGTACAGACACATTAGAATGAAAAATGTTTCTCTGGGGAGTCTTTCAGTTATAGTTTGAAAAGAGTTTGTCCATGCAGAATTAAACCCAAGATTGAGATCAGTACTGACATTGCTAGGATGCTTGATGCATTTCTAGCCCTGGGCTGTACAAACATTTGAAATTAGTAATCTTTACATCTTTTGAAGATATTTTAAACGCTCTCTCTTTGGAGATGCTGCTGCATTTTCATGTAGCTATATATCTGTACAAATCTTGCTTGTGCAATGTTATACTGCAGTTTCCCTTAACTTGTCATAGGCATTCAGAGCCCTTCACCTTACCAATATTGATTTAGGTTACAAATGAATGAAGTTTAGTGTTCTCATCATACACTCTGTCCAATAGAGACTAATACCTAAGCTGGAACAATGGCACTGAGAGACAGGACTTGGGAAGCAAAGTGGTTGAGTTAGGTCACTGGAAATAGGTTATGAGGGCACTCCCAATACTGTACCTCTGCTGTGTCTGGCCTGCAAATGACACTGTAATCCTAAAACCAGTAAACTAACAAGGTTCCCAGTGGTTTGATATTGAGAGTTCTGAGCACAGGACCCTCAGGCTGAAATCTATGACAGCTGTGGATGCTCAATACTCTTGAAAATCAGGCCACAGGATTTCAGGTGTTTGAGATATTCAATTGGAAGTGCAAAGCATTACTGTATTACCTCTTGATGAGATCCTTTACTCACCAGCACAGGGAGCAGCAGAGCCAGGTATCCTCCACAGAAAATGGCAAAGCTTACTGTGTAGACCATAAGTAATGGGAAGGATGTGGCAAGAGGACCCAGCAGGTTAGTGATGCCACACAGAATAAGGTAAGTCTTATGGTAATGATACTTCTTGATCCAGTTCTGATCAGCGATCCAGCCAGAAAGCAATTGGCTGACTGTCTCTATAATCCCTAGAGAGAGAGGGAAAATTATTGTGAAGGCTCTAGCCAAATCTTTTAGAAATTGTTCAGTAGCGGTTTTGTGCTCTTCTTGATTCTTCATAATGTACAAAAACATTTGCCTGAAATGTTTGTCAAGAAAATTCTGCTTGTATTTTACATTTAGGATATGACATCACAAGAGATGAGGATGGGATTCTTAGATTGTTCTAAAATGTGTGTTTTTTTCCATTTAGTGCTTGGTAAGCATCCAGTAGGCATCTGGAGTTGAGAGAGGATGCTCTTTTAAAAATTAAATTAAGGGGTGAGACAGTTACAGTAAATGACATGCACAAAGACATCCAGCAAAATCAGAGAAGACCAAACTTGGCATTCCTGATCAAACAAAACCAAACCCCACCTTAATCTGTCATGAAGAAGCAAAAAAGGGCACAAACTGAACATTTTTAAAAGTGCAGGGCCACTTTTAATAAAATATACATTACCTTATGGGTATGTTACCTGAACTAGTCTCAAGTTCAGGAAAGTGCTGATTACCACTGAATATCCTATTGGCTAGAAAGTGGTTTGAGCACAAACAACTTATTACCTCTATTCCTGCCAATGTCATCTGCAAATTAACCATTGATCTAGATTAAGAACACAGTTGCCTCTTTAGCCCAAATATCCCCTAAATAACATTCCAAGGATGTTGATTTCACTTTAGGTAAACTTTCTTTGTACAATAAAGGGCTCTTTAATGATAGAGAGTGGAGCTACTTTCTTAATGTAACGTTACTTGCATGTTTTGAAACTAGAAAGGTTTGATTGAGGTGGACAGGCTTCATGCACAACAGCTGTACTTAAAGTAGGCTGGCCTGTAAAATTCATTGTTTGTAGTGTGCCATTATGATCTCTCCAGCTGTTACATAAATGCAAAGTGTTTCACAACCGAAGCCATTGTGCACAAAGTGGCTGGAAGGGTTAGGAGAGAAGATAAAGGTAGCACCCTAAGGTGGTGTCTTCACTGGAAAAAAAAAAAAGGGGAGGGGGGAGGAGAGAGAAGAGTTGTGCTCTTAACTTGATTTAGGCTCAGACTTCAAGGCCAGAATGGACCATCATGACCTGCTAGTCTGATCTCCTGCACATTGCAAGCCATAGAACCTGGCCCATAGCCTCTGGCTGAGTTACTGAAGTCCTCAAATCTTGATTTAAAGACTTCAAGTTACAGAGAATCCAGCATTTACGCTAATTCAAACCAGCAAGTGACCCGTGCCCCACAAGGCAGAGGAAGGTTAAAAACCCCTTAGGCTCTCTGCCAGTCCAACCTTGGGGAAAAATACCTTCCTGACCCCAAATATGACAATCAGACCCTGAGCATCTGGGCAAGACCTACCTGCCACATTTGGGAAAGAATTCTTCATAGTAATTCAGAGCCTTCCCTGTTTATTGTTTCCCATCTCATGTAGTTGGAGACATTTGCTAATAGCAGTCATGGATGTCCCATTGTAGGCAGTCTTATCCTACCATCCTCTCCATAAACTTATCAAACTCAAGTCTTACAAATGTTTAGGTTTCTTTCCTCCACTATTCCCCTTGGAAGGCTGTTTGAGATCTTCATTTCTCTAATGGTTAAACCTTTGTCTAATTTCAAGCCTAAACTTAATGATGGTCACAGTTTGTCCTTGTACCAACATAGGTCCTTAACTCCTCTTCCTCCCTGCTGTTTATCCCTCTATTTATAGAGAGCAATCATTTGTCCCTTCATTCTTTGGCTTGTTAAGGAGATTGTTTTGTTAGTCTAAAGTCTCATCCTAGTAGCCCTTCTCTGTACCTGTTCCTGTTAGAATTCATCTTTTTAAACAAGGGAGACCAGAATTGTACTCTAGATGGTCTCACTAGTGCCTTCTACAATAATTGCAGTAGAAACAGGGAAGTGTTCTCTCACCTGATATATCCTAGTATTGTATTAGGATTTTTTTTACCACTATCACATTGGTGGTTCATAATCATCCTGACTAGTACATGCAGGTCTCTCTCCCCTGTTGCTTCGAACTGCTATGTCCCCAGCTTACATCAAAAATTCTTAGTCCATAGATGCATGACCTTGCATTCTGTGCTATTAAATGTCATCCCATTTCTATTACTCCAGTTTTCAAGGTAGGATATTCTGGAGGTCCTCCACCTCAGCAATATTTCCAACTTTATCTGCAAATATTATTAGTGCACACCTACTTTTTTGCCAAGGTCACAAATGAAAATGTTAAATAAGTGGTGTGCCAAGACCAATCCTTGAGGAACTCCACTAGTAACCTCCCTCCACCATGACCTGTTGTAGTCTCCCCTTTGAGCTGTTCCTTACCCACCTTTTGATTCTCATATTAATCCTCTTCTCCAATTTAACTAATTTCCCAGGTGGAACTGCATCAAATGCCTTACTGAAATCCAAGTAGATTAAGATACCAAATTTTCTAGACCAAGGAAATACAGTAGATCTAAAGAAAGAGCGCAGCTTGGTCTCGCATGCTTAACTTTTTGTAAAATCATGTATACCTTATCTCAGTTACCGTTTACCTTTGGCCTTAACTACTCTCTCTTTCAAAATATTTGTTCTAAGACCTTACATACAGTTGAAGCCAAACTAATGGGCCTATATTTGCAATTCTGCAGTCATAGGGTATGACCCCCTCACATTTAAAGATTCATTAAAAATCCTTATTGGGGTTGCAATTTCATGTGCCAGTTCCTCTAATATTTTTAGCTGGAGATTAGCCATGTTCCTCAGTTTGGTCCCATTAAGCTGTTTGAGTTTGGCTTCTAGCCTCAGATGTGGTATATCCTTTTCCCCATTAGCCACCACTGCCCCCAAGCTCCTCAACAGGCAATTATTCATGGAGTGTGTAAGTACCTAAAAGGGGTTCTATAAAGACTTGAAAAAGGAGTGTTGGTAGCTTAACTTAAAATGAAAGAGTAAGGTTTGGGCTAAACAACTAGAGGGTAATTGACTCTTGACATTCTCCTTCTCTGCCTGAAGGCATCTTCCTTGGGGTCAAAAGGCTGCTGCCACTATTTGAGTATTAAAAATTAACTCTCTGCAATTAGGGGTATAATCCAGATGTAGGGGCAGAAAGGAATTTACTCCCAGGACATATTATGTGTTTGCCTTCCTCTTGAGCACTGAGCAACAATTCCCTTTTAGGATTGGCTGACTGCTACACTGTTTTTCGATTTCAGGGGTTATTACATTTCTTTCCTACTTGTATCACTGTGTAAATATAAATACCTTTTTAAAATAAGGTTAGAAGACTCTTGCCTACCAGCCACTGAAATGAGGTAAGAGGCATCCATGCTGTCTATGCCCAAGGTTTTGGCTCTTGCTGCCAGGTGAAAGGTGGGAATGAAGTAGGCCAGTTGGCTGAACAAAAATGACCAGGCAAAAATACAGAAGAAGGGATCTTTCAGCAGTGAGAAATCAAGAAGAGGCTGCCTGCAGGGAACTGGCCGTGAGTGGGAATTCCATTCCTTTTGCAGTGGAAGGTTGTTATAGCTGCAGTCCCTGTCACTGTCTCCACCAGGAGCGTAGCGGTTGGAGGTTTCTCTCTCAGACCCTTCCAAACCAGCAGCGTTCACTGGAACTAGTGATCCTAATGTTCCAGCTGACTGGAGCCTGTTTGTGACAGTGGAATCTTGCATAGGAGAATCCAGTCTAGTATTAAACTGTATTTCTGTGGTACTGATTTCATCTAGGTGGCTTGTAAGAGTTGCTGGATGTTTACTTTGTGTTAATGATCCACTGTCTACATTTCTACCAGAAAAGGCTTGGAGATTCTTGATGTTAAGAGGTCGCAGTAACATACTAGAAGGCACAAGGTTTAACATGATCCCTCCAAAGATCAGTAGGGTACCTGAGAGAAGAGAGAGGGAAGGAAGATAAGTGTGTTTTTTCCCACCATAATGCTTTGATCAGTACACAAACATTGTTTAGAATTGGCTCTTTTTTCATACTGAACACACAGAATGATCTGCTGCAAGAAAAACAGTATTTATCTTGCATCAATCCTTCTATTTGGCTTCTTCCCAAGGTGAAGTCACCTTCCTGCTTGTGAAATGTCAAACAGAGAGAGACTAGCTGGGAAGCAGATAAACTCATAAGAAACATAGCTACTCTCAGTCTCATTGCCCTGCCTAATAAATTAAAACAAGGGGAAGGAAAGAGAACTAAATATGTTTCAAAGTTTTTTCCTCCTTTACTTGTATTCTTAAATTCAGTTCGTGTCTCATTTGGCAGACTCCATGATGAGTGGTGAAAATACAACGTTGCAAGAAAGTGTGAAAGTTTAGCAAATGAGAGAGAGGAATTTATAGTCACTGGTTAACATCAATATAACTTTAGTGACTGATTACATTTTGGAAGAAGGATATCGTAAAGAATTAACAATCCCAGAGATGACCAGAGTTGCCATTCCTGATATGTCAAAGATAAACAAAGTAGCTTAGCCCCTCTATCAGAAGAAGATGCCAAAAACCAACCCCACAACTTCAATCTTTAAAATAACAATCCCTTCTAGGTGCTGATGGTGAAATGTGGAAAAAGTAAAACCACTTTACCTTGCCAACCATAAAAATCTATCAGAAGTTGAGTGAAAGGTGCTAGTATAAATGTCAGTCCCATTCCTGAGCGAGCAATTGCATTGGATAGAGCCAGTCGCTTTTTAAAGTACCTGGCAGTCATCACAGCAGCTGCTTGATACAAGCAAGCAAAGCCCAGCCCTGAAATAGAAGAAAGATTGTCAGTGCCCAAGCAGTGACTTGTGTGGAGTAAAATTTCCATCTCATGCAAGTGAGGAGCAGAGCTTCTAGTTCAAGACCTACCCTCAGTGAGTCACCTCAACTAACAGCTGTATTGTGAAGACAAAAGAGCCCTTGCTAGATGCACACAAGGAAATGCCCAAGCTGTGCATGTTTAGAAACAATGCAGAGTAGCAGGGATTGGCAGCTGGCAATGGTGCTTTCTGGGAAACCTGGTAAAGTGCAATGGCTTGGCTCCCCAAGGTGCACGGGGTAAAATACTGGCCCTAGTGAAGTCCATGGGATCAGGATTTTACCCATGGTATTTAGAAACTGGCTTCTTTACAGCTGCATATTGTTCCCTTTCAATGAGGGATTTAAAAAGCCAGGTTTTACTACGCATAGTGAGTTTACAAAAAATTGAAATTCACACAGTGGCTCTAGTAAGTCAAAACTTTCATTAGGCCTTCCTGAATGTAAAACCTGCAGGGAAGAAACTCTTTTTGCAGCCTTTAGGTGATACACTAATATAAATAGGATAATCAAGCAGCCACATGGCTTAATGGTTATCTGGATCTGCTGGTGCACTGTTGTAAACGCTTTGATCAAACACTCAGGAAAGTGGCAAAAAGGCAGCCAGAGCGAAACTTGTGAGCTGTAGGAGGTTACACTCACCCAATAGAAGTCCCATAGACACACACAGGAAGGAGATACTAGTGGCCTGTGTGCTGATCAGACAACCACTGCTAACTAGGCCTGCCCCAATGATGGAAGTCAGCTGGTCCCCCAGCTTCCCACAGGCTATAGTGACCAGTGGACCTGGAAGATAAGTCAGTAGTGAGGTAAGCAGTTGGAAGATTTAGAGGAAAACACACACACGCACACACACCCCTCTCAAGGTACAATAGCATCTAGAATAGCATTCTTGATATTCTCTTACCCTGCTCTGAGAATTCCATCAGAGCTACAAGGAGCGCTTACGTTATGCTCTATGAAGTAGGATAGTGGAGAGAGAGGTAATCAAATCTCCTGTTTGGAGATGGTCAGGAAGGAGTTCCTTAACCTGCTCCCTTTAGACAGCATTGCTCAGTTAAATTGGTGGATTATTTAGTGGTGGGAGAGACTGCTTTACTTGATCTGGCGCAGCCAATCCTGTACAGAGAAGCACAGTGACTTGTCAAAGGTTTATGCAAACCCTCTTCTTTAAAGATTTCCCTGTGCTACCACCACCAGTTCAGCTCCCCTAGAGTGCTGGTGTAGACAAGAAAGCTTCCCCATTAGTCAGCCAAGGGTCACAGCCCTTTGGACGGAAGTCTTCAAAGAACAGGTATGATAGTACCAGTAATAGCTTTTTTTAGTGCTATTGAACCCTGCTTTGGAGTGATTACCCGCTAGCCCTGGAGGGTTGTTCAGCGTCCAGGCCCAAATAATTTTTGGACTCTCTAGGAGTGCCAAAAAATGTGCCAATTGCACTAGTTTGTCATGTAGACACTAGAGTTTGGCAGGTCATTTCATGTCAGCTATTTAATGCAATCAAATGGACTTAAAATTCAAAGACTGTAGACCTGTCTGTTACTTTCTGAACCTTACGTATCCCTACTGACCTGCTGAGAAGCGGAGAGAGGACATGATGGAGCCGATCCAACTGATTTGTTCTGAAGAGCCTCCCACCTCTTCTTGAAAGACCACAAAGAAAATTCCAAAGGTTTTCAGCATTCCCATCACAAGCACATTTACCTAAATCCAAAGAAGATGGAAGTGAAATGCTGCACATAGTTGGAAATAGATTTCTGGCCACTATATCCTCTCCCTGTTCCTCAGGACTGTGATGAATCTTCATATATTGGGAGAAAAGCTGATGACAAGCTAGAGTCAGGAAAAAATCCCCTTTCCTCCACATATCTACACACACTCCACCCATTATTGCAAGTAGATGTGATATTGGGATGGGACAGTGTGTTGCTGCTTTCTAAGCCATCTAGTAGCATTGCTTAGTGGCAGAAATGGGGACATTTGTCTGGTAGGATTGTGAGAGACACATTCAGTGACTAGGTCTCAGTGGTACCCACGTTCTAACTGGAGCAAAGCCTACACAGTATGGGCATTTTTCCAACAGACCAGAATGGCATTGCACTTGAGATGTGTTTAAAAATTCAGATTCCTTTGAACTGTTTGGCATATTTCTGTAACTAGTTCTTATAAAAACTAGAGACTGAAAAAAATCTTGAAATAACTAAACACGTATTGTCAGTGATTTAACAAGTAGTACCGGAGTGTTTGAATTCTTGGAAATCTCAATAGTCACTGACAGATCAGAACTGATTGGCTTTTTGGCATGAGCATTGGAAAGATTTCCCAGTCAGAAGCTGCCATGCTGCCTAATTTTCTTTTTCCAATAGCTGACTGGTAAATAAGCAGGTAGTATAACATACTGAACACACTAGAGTCAAGATGCCTGGTTCCTATTCATAGCGTTACTGTTTTGAGCTGTGACATTCTGAAATACGGGTAATATAAGGCTCCCTACCTTGGAGGCTTCGCTAAACAAGCTTGTGAAGTGCTTTGACATCCATGGTCAAAATGTGCTTATAGCAATGATAACTATATGTACTACTTGATGTTAACGTACAAGTTGCAGGTAAATGCGTTGTCATTTTGCAGCAGCTTAGCAATTAATTCTTGTATACAGACTGTGGGCCAGATTCCAGGGTTGGCAATTTCCTGGGAAAAACTAGTTTAAGACAGAGCACTGGTAAATACCAGTTTAAACTGGGAAAAATTAAGTTCTTATTAGACTACTCATGAAAATTACTGAAATATATAGATTGCAAAAAAAACTTAGCAAATTGCTAAATATATTGGTTACATAATATGAAAATAAGAGTCATGACATCTATAAGTTCCTTGAGAAAATACCAGAGCAAAATGTATACAGATATTCTGATGTTTAGTATTATGTATACTGCAGTTTTAATTTGTATTTGTACAACAACCTAAATTAATCTCTGAATCTTCTGCCTTATGGAACCACACTTTGAATATGTAACTAAGGTTAAGCAATGTGGTGTACATTAATGAAACAGTTTTTTAAAATAGAAAATACTTTGAACTGGGACTAACTAGTTGGTAAAAACCATGATTTTACCTGGTTAAAAAACAGCTCTGGTAAATGCCATCCCTGCCAGATTCTCAGCTGCTGTAAATTGGTGCAACTGCATTTACACTAGCTGAGAATCTGCAGCTTTTTTCCCCACAGAGCCTCATGAAGGAGACCAGAGTTGGGTTCCTCTATGGTTATCAAGCTAACCAGAAGTAAGAGGAAAGCTGTATGATCTCTACTGCGACAATGCGTATCTCTGGAGACTTAGGGGGGGAAAGGAAACTCTCACAAGCAAAGAGTACCAAGTCCAACTGCTTTTTAATGAAGGACAGAGATCAATCCTTTCTCAGAACTAGTTACACATTTCACTGAGCATAATCTTTACCTGTAAAATTACAGACCAGTGTGCTAGACTCATTAAAGTAGGACTCCTGCCCTCCTTGGTAATGTTAATCTCTGCCATGAGCATGTTAGAATCAACCCTGTGTGCATCATATGCTGGTTTTGTTGTCTAAAAAGCATTGTGTGAGAACACAACCGGTGAAAGCATCTCTTTCCTCCAGGACTTAACCTTGTGAGTTCTCTACTTACCAGAAAGAAGTGAAGCACTATCATCCATCCCCATCCTCCATCAGGGGGTGGTATGGGTTGCTGTTCCTCCTCCTTCGTTGCTGTTGGCTGATTCTCCGCCTCTGCCCCCTTCCTTTCTCCTTCAAATGAGAATTTCAGGGAATAGTCACACTTCACCATACTGATCAGGCTCTCTTAGGTAAACAAGACTCAAAATTCACTTTGCAGTATTGACCTACTTTAAAAACAAGCTGACACTTGCTTCCATCTATCCTTCCTCCTGTTTACCAGCCTCTGCTGCTGCTAACATGGGAGACAATATTTTGCATTTAGTCAGCGATCACAAGTTGCTTTTTAAAGCTGGTTAGGCATTGTTATACCTTTGGGGAAGAGGCACTTAGGTTTGCACGGTCACACTGTGACAGAGCTGGAGATGGAACTCGGGTCTTCTAACTCCCACCTTTTTACTCATTTCTAGACTACAGCTGTCCGCAAGTAAGGACGAGTCCTGCATGTTCAGGTATGTTTCCTTTGGCGTATTTATACATAATTCAGTCTGTGCCAGAACTAGGGGAGCCTGCTTCACCATCTGTCTGTGACAATACCCTGCTCAGCGCCTCTCTGAACCTCTTCCCAACTCCATTGCATCTATGCCATTTTATTCCTTCACCATTTATCTGTGACGTTTCTGTCTGCTACTGAGTTTGCTCTAGGAGTTTTGCCTCATAGTGCAGCTGAGACCTGCAAGGGGATTAGCAGGATTGTAACCCAAAGCTTTTCTCTTACCGTCAGGATGATGCATAGCATAAGATGCTGCAAAAATAAGATTAAGGAAAATCTGTCTTCATTTGTTGTTGGGACTAGCTACAGCCTCCTGAGTTAGTTCGTTTAAGTCTGTTCCTTAATTCCTCTCTGCACTAGGGAACACAGGGCTCATTCTTCTAAAAGAAGCCACGAAGCAAAGGAGGCAGACCTAGCGCAAAAAAAAAAAAAGCAGCCCCCTAAGTGCAGGGCCTTTTGGACTTTATCCCTCCCCTCAGAAAGTAATTAGCATATTCAAGGCATTTCAGCCCCACCCCTTACCCAAGACCGAGGGTGGGGAAATGAAGCTCTCTGCTAAAAGTATCCTGCTTGGAGGAAATTTGAGTCCTTAAAGTGCTGCCCAAAAACTGCAAGGGAAGTCTTGAGGGCGGCCATGCGGTTTTGCTTGTTAGTCACCACGCAGGCCAGTAGGTGGCATCAGTGTACAAAACCAGCTTCCAGTACAGGAGCCACATCTGAACTTGTGTGTGTCCATCTTAGCAGGTAGAGATGGGGAACCAGAGACAGAGGGATTCCCTCCCTGCTGTATAGCAGGTACCATAAGCAAGATCATATTCCTTAATTCACTGTTGAATGTTTGTATAGTCCTGACACAAGGACTGCCTGGAGACCCTCCTGAGGCACGGTGCTTGGCACCTGCCCCAACAATTCCAGGCTAAAGCAATGTCTTCACTGCCAAAAATGGTGTTTTTACTGCAGCGAAACTAATATGCATTAGCTAGCCTGCTGTAAAACCCTAGTGGAGGCAAAGCACTTTAGTTTTCCGATGAGGTCAACCACTGATAGAGGTATAATGTTGATGTCACATGGTTATCCTGTAGTGCTTTGTCTCCTCTAGGATTTTAATGTAGGCTAGCTAACGTATGATCACACTGTTAAACAAAGGAAAACATCTTTTTTGCAGTGGACATATCATACAGACAGATTTGTGCTGCAAACGGGGGAGGAGAGCTCCCAGTGAGTGAGATTATTATTAATTAGCAGTGGCCACAGGTGAGACCTGCAGCTCTCATCTGCAATCCTAGGCTCTCCTGCAGCAGCTCAGTTCATTTCAGGAAAAAGTGGCATAAGCTTCAGTGCAGCAATGTGGAGGTTCTTCTGGCTGTAGAGGCTCCCATTGGAAGTGGCTTAGGAAATCTGCTACATGAGAACAAACACAATGGGAGCAAGCTTACCACCCCCACAATCAGACTATAGTATTCATGTGTTGCTCAGCCTCCCTTATTCCATTATCTGCTGTGTAAAGATTGTGCCCCACCCTATTTTAATTGGAACACCAAAAGCTTCTGATCCCTTTTTAAAAATCCAGCACAAATCTTGTCTCATCTCAGATTTGGCACAGCAGCCTCAACTGTTTCACTATCATTGTGTTTAAACCCCCCTCCAAAATACCACAGCCCTCACTCAGCTAAGAGCAACGAGCCTATAAACATGAAAATGAATTTAAAGAAAAATTTGACAACTTACCTTACTAGCAGAGAGTTGACAGATTTTCTCAGTATATGTTTGGTGTAAGCATGGAAGGGCTGGGGAAGAGAATACATCTGCTGTGTCTGCTCCTCAGCAAATGTAACTTTTCCCCTCAAGTAACTATGTAGCTACATGTGGCACTGAACTTTATGTATTCATTCCAGATAACAATGAAACTAAGAGGATCTTAATGCATCCTGGACAGTTTAAGAATATACTCTTTACTTTAATGCATTGTTTGGTAACTATGATTGATCACTTGGGAAATTAAACTACTTGACATTTCACTTCCTTACAAGAGATTTGAAATGAGGTATTGGTCAAAGCTATAATGGCGAGAGACCATAATCAGAGCTGTAAGAGTACTTCCTAGTCCCCATTGGCACTACAGGAGGTTGGAGGGTACCAAATGCAAGAGGAACAGCTTTTAACAGTCACACAGGAAGTTTGAAAAGTAAAGATCCTTTTGGCCATGTCCCTATCAGGGATTGTATTGCTCTGAGATTTAGGACATAGTTGCACCATTTTCCTGCTAATGAAATGCTAAAAATCACTGGATCTAGTATTGTATATTGATGTTGACATTATCCACTCTGAGTCCACCACTACCTATCTATCAATACTGAAGAGGAACTAAAGTCAACTTTCTCATACTGATTTAAAACCATGCAGTAAAGATATTTGTACCTCCATGGGTTTAGTAATTGGGACATTGTCAGGTCAAATTTGGCCCCATATCTAGGTTTTGTAAGTAAGCTTTTACCATACGTAAAACAAATGTTTCCCTATATATTTGAACACCAAGGGAGGGAGTTTTTAAACAATGTTTCCCCTGCAGTGTTTGCAATTTTAACAGTATCATTAGGGGTTAAAGTGTGAGAATCGTGATGTGAAATTGACAGCTTGACAAATCCATTTCCAGTGTCAAAACAATAACACGAGAAGCAAAACACTAAGTAGTGCCACTGAACTTAAAACTTCAATTTTAAGCCAAGACATTTGTAACAGACAAGGAAACTGTTTATAAATGTATGTATTTTTAGCCAGATGGGATTAAAGGTGTCCTACAAAGAATCTTACTGGGGTTTGGCTCTTTCTTTGATGTATAAAGGCAACCTGCATGAGTTAAAGCTTTCTGCTTGTTTACCTTAGGAAAAAAATCACCTTGCCTGATGTTTTTGAGAGAGGACCATTGGGAAGTGCAAGGGATCTTTATTGTAAGATGACCACCTTAGTTGGAGGGGGGAGGATGATGTATCTGTAAAAGTCTGTCTTTCTCTATAGTATTAGTCACTGAGGTTCAGACAAACCAGCATTCAACTGAAGCTTACATAGCCAGCTGCGTATTTCATCTCAGATAATTTATTGAATTCAACAAGTAAGGCCACAGGTTAGGGTATTTGATCATTACACAAGCAAGGTAAGTTAAACCACATTCCATGCTTGACAGTAAGTTCTGGGCTGTGCTGGAAGTTAGACCCTGACTGAAGTACAGTACCAGTTTAAATAAGGAGGGAAGCTACCACATATTTAAGATTGGCTCAAAATTAGTTCTGCAAGCACTTTCTGTATGAGATCAGCAGAGGAAATAGATCAGTCCAACAACAAGGAGTTGGTCCAAAGGTGGAAAAGAACCAAGCAGATGTATGAAAGATCAAGATGCCATTTTGTGCACTGCCACAGTGATGCTGTCATGCTTCTGGATCATGATGTTCCTGAAATAAACAGAAACCATTATTGAAGATAGCTATAGCTACTACAGTCCAGAAGAGTTCTCACACTGCAGCTAAGCTGCAGGTCACTAACAGAAGTTTAGTATCTGCTGCATGCTGTCAGAGAGGAAGCACTGACTAGATCAGCATTTCTCAAATGCAGCCACCAGGGGCTTTTCTTGCAGCCACAGCCTCCTGGGCAGTGAGGGGGGAAAGCAGCAGCCTCACCCCCAGAGCTTCGGCCCTGCCCCCACCTGGAGCTAGCCAGTGTGAGTTCCCCACCTTCCCAGGGGCAGTGGGGCTCAGGCTTCTGCTGTGGGGTGGCAGACTGCAGCTGCATGTTGGCAGGCTGCCTCCCTATCCACAGCTTAATTTCTCTGTCCTGCCCTCTACCCCACCCCTTGCCAGGGCTGAGTAAATCTGTAGTTAAGTGATATTTGTATGTTTGTTAATCACTTTTCACTACCTCCTAGCTAACAAACAAGTCTGCTACTGTGAAAAGTGATTACACGTACAAATATTACTTTTCACAAATACAGACTTACTAGCTAGCAAGTCTAAAAAGAAAATGCAGCCAAAAAAGCAAAACAAAACCAGAACATGCAAAGCACATTGTGTTTTTCTGTTTAGGTCCAGTAAATAGAGAACTGTACATTATTATTCAGTCTGTGTAAAAACCCCTACATATATAAATTACTATGATTTGGACATATATATATATATATGTGCATATTTATTTATTTCTAAAGTTAATTAGGAATTTTAGGAAAAGTTGTCATGGTGGCCACACTGAGGCCACCAAAAAAATTGTTAATACCCCTGCATTAGATCCTGTACACAAAGGACTCCATTTTCCATCTCTGCCTACTCTGAAAACATTTGGGCTCTAATCTTCCCACCAAACTCAAACACCTCCAGGTACTTCAAAAGCTTGAATTATGGGAGATTCCTGGGAATTAGGTCTCCCTTCTTTTGTTAAAAGTTTTCAGGAGGATTAAAACAGGATCATAAGGTCAAAGTAGCCATTACAAACATGCTGCAGGAATAACTAATAGCTAGTATTGTATCCTTATCTGGCAACAGCCTCTCTGCTTTTTGAAGCATGCAGTATGTGTAGAAACAAGGTTACATTCATCCATGCCTTAGGTCCCCAATTTTAATAAGCAGTCCACATTCAAGCTCCAGAGAAAGGCAAGAATGACTTTCCTAGAGTTGCTGCCATATGTGCCACTGGGGGTGAAGCTTTCTAGCCTTCTATCTGTCATTGTAACCAGGGGCACATGAGCAGAACCACATAGAAGTGAAGGAGGCTGATCTAAAGATCTAATATTCCCAGAGGATCCTAATGATAAACATACAGCTCCAGATGCTCACCCATTATCTGACTCCAGACACACAACAGGAACATCAGTAGGATCTGAAGTTAGTTTGGCTGCCTGCTGGGCTAGAACTGATATCACACCTGCATGTTCATCTGAAAGGGTTCCACGACCTATAAAATACACACGTCTTTATGTAAGTGTAAAACTCCTCATTACATGGCAGTAACTACATAGCCAGCCAGCCCAAGAATTGAGTTGAACTATGTGCGCTAATTGAACCCATTTTTCAGGTTATCCCAATAATTGCTAAAGCATTCTAAGGAGTTTTCCCTGCCAGTGCTTACCACCACATTATCTGTACCCTTCCCAGATAAATATGGTCAACACAACTGTGATTTTGGTGGATTTATATAGTCATATTTGCAGCATACCCTAATGTTCAGTATCCAATGCTGCCTTATTTCAGGCAAACCCATTCTTTTAATTTTGACTGAAATAAGAGGCTAATCTGTTTACCTATAAGCCCATCAAGATACCTATGTCAATGGCAAGCTTTACAATTACAATTCATTCTTGGGCTCCTCATTCTACATTTTGTCCCCACCTTTTAATTAACTGGCCAGTGATCAGATGATACCTGTTACCAAATCAGCAACAGCTGTGTCTTATACTTCAATTGTTGTGCATGCTAGGTCAAACAGGAACCTGGTCCATAGCACCAAGGCACCCTAGCTACAGCAATACAGATCATTTCATTATTGAAACAAAGGCTAGTTGTTCCCCCTATACACATTAGTGGGGTTTTTTTTAAAATGAGTTAGTTGGCAACCACTGGTAAAGAGAGGCAGGCAGGCAGACCATGTACACTTTGATATTTCAAATACTGGGACAGGAGAGAGCAAGAATAAAACATGGGATTTTAAAGGAGTAGGAAATGGAGAGTTTTTAACAAACTGCAGGGATCTGCCCAAAGCTGACAGATAGGAGATTTATTTTTCTAGTGTGTATTTTAAAGCATGTACACTATTTCAACATTAAAATGTTCCTGGTACCACATGAAAGTGGAAAGGGGCCCATTTTCTGAAGCGAAAAAGCTGCTTTGTTACTTACAGCCAAGGTTCAGGCCTTGTGAATCTGTGCACAGAACTCCAACTATTGAGGGATTCTTCATTCTAATAAAGATAAAACCTGAGATCAGCAATTTAAGCATTAGATGGGAAAGAAACAAATGAGACATCAAGACAGCAGTGAGAGCCTCACATAAATCTGAAACAATTTAAGAAGTGCCATCTTTTCAGCCAGATAAGACGACAGCTCCCTTCGAAAGGGTGTCAAAACAGTTCAGGGTGGAGGGAAAGCAGGAACTTTAATAACTGCAAAATGCATTTCATTATTTAGAAATGCTGGTTAACTTGATAACATCTCAGTCAGCCAGTGGGGTAAGGCTCACTGAGAATCCCCTGTTCAGAATGGGGGTTTGCTTCCATCTGAGCAAGAGAGCAGAAAACCCTGCTCCATGGAAGCAGGAGAGAAAAGAGATGAGGGAGAAGAGAGGGTTCTCAATTACCAGGGAGAAAAGAGCAAAAGTTGCCAGTCACATGAAAAATTCCTACCCGTGTATCCCATAAAATAATCATCCCCGATTCCTACCAACCAGAAATCATTCTCACCCCAGCACTCCCTTTTCACACCTACCCAGGTATGCCCATTACATATCCTTCCCATGCCAATGCCTGCTTACCCAATATGTGCCCCCATCCAAGTAACCCCAATGCTCCCACTTCCCCACGCTAGCACTCCACCCCTGGTGTCCCTAAAGAACCCCCCGCCAATCCCCCTCCCAGTACCTGTCAGGTGCCCCCAGCACTCCCCCTCCCTCCTGCTAGTGTCGCCCCCTTCCCCTCGCCAGTGCCTCCAACATCCCCGGTGCTCGCTCCTACCAATGCCCCCCACCCCAGCGTTCCTCCCCCCCCGCCAGTGCACCCGCCCCCGCTGCTAGTGTCCCCAGTGCTCCCCGCGTTCCCCCTCCCTCCGGCCAGTGCCCCCCC